GCCAGAGAGCAGAGAGCCGCAATTCGTCCACCTGTGGGGCACCGTGGCTCAGGTGCTGAAATACCTGGAGACAGGGCAGAGCTGAAGTGGGATTGCTCAGCAGCTTCTCACCCGTTCTCCTTGCAAGTTGCAAGCTATGTTGAGGCAGAAAGGCAGCAATGGACAGGAGCTGCTTAGCAGGTGTGGTAGCTGGTTAAGGATTTGCACCCAAGTTTCTCTGGTCTAAGCCTGGCACTCCGATTGCTACTGTGGCCTGGTGGTTTGAGTGGTGGACCAGGGAACGGGGAGACCCGGTCCTCGTCCCCCACTCAGCCATGGACGTCCCTAGGTGTCTTTGGGCCAGTCACAGACTCTCAGCCCAACCTACCTCACAAGGTCGTTGTGTGGATAGAAGCGAACAGAGCAGAACTATGTAAGCTGCCTTGGGATCCTCACCAGAGGAAAACCGCAAGCAATGAATGCGATGGGATATTAATCCTGCTCGCACTGCTGCCTTCTTCCTCCCTCCTGCCAGCCAGACGGGACTCAGAGGCAGAGGCTGAGGGAAAACACAGCTGATGGGCCCTCACCCCCCTCAGCATTTGACGGGCGTCTTGTGAAGCTCGGCTTTTTGTGAGCTCACTACAGTCCTAATTAGCAATAATCAAGACGCCTGCATGCAAGGACATCTGTGCTGGAGCACGGCCTCCACGCTCTCTGCCAACTCCAAAAGCAGGGAGGGGAGGCAGCAGACAGATCGACGACGTGTTGAAGCTCAGGCATGCTCTTTGCAGACGTGAGGACTCTGCCGGATGGCAGACGCTGAGCTACAGAGGCCTGCGGAGTCGTCCTCGAGCGCCACGCACACAGCCTCCCTCTTCCGTCCCACCTGAAGTGCACAAGGTGCTTTGTGAAACCATCGCCAAGGCAAACTGGGACTCGAGGGGTGACTTGCGACGCTATCCACGCACTCAGCGCTTCAGCAAAGGCTGTGCTGACATTTTCTCAGGAACCTCACGCAAACGCAGGCATCACACCCCCTAGTGGCAAACCGTGGTCAAGACGGTTTCCTTTTGTAAATCCATTCTTCAGGTTAAAGATGGGCGGAAAACGTCTCGCACTCCCCCGCCCCGCCCCGCCCCGAGATCAACAGGAGCTGGGGTGGGGAGAGGGGACTTCCTGAAGTCCTCAAATGCATGGAGGGACATACCCCACGTTGCCAATCCGCTAGAGAAATGACATCACGCTCGTGCAAATTAAGTTCCAGACAACGCACCAAATCCGGCTACAGTGCTAGGTGCACAAGAAGAGTTGCAGAAGCAGTTAACGTGGCAAGCCGTTGCACAACTGCTCGTATAAGCGATCACACAAGCATCTTGTGCAATGGCTTGCACACTAGAAAGAGACACCTGAGTCCCCCTGGTGCTATTTGACAGTATTTGATACAGCGCAAAGACAAGGAAACTGGCATTTCGGAACCACACAGGCCACAGGTTGTCAGTCAACCTGCACATTCTTCCTGCTCTTGCTTTCCCAGAGCTTTGATCAGGTGCCAGTGTGGGGTAGCGTTTTGAAAACTTCCGGCCAAGAGCATAAATGTACCCGTTAGAATAGCAGCATAATAATTTACCTGGATAGAGCAATTCCATAAAAATAAATGAAGCCTGTGAACAATGCAGCTGATCCATAATAGTTGCAAGTGCTTAACTCTGCCTGGATCACAATCAACTTCAAAATTGCTAGAATGGCAAATGACTAAGGCATAAATAGTTCGTTTTAATTGTGCATGAAATTACGCAGCTTTTTCTACAGTAATAAAACTGATATTACATGCTCTGATGTACAATTGTATCTAGTGCTTACATCAAGTATCCATATAAAATAGTCGGGAACCGGTCAGCAGATTCCCAAAGCCAAGCCAATGACAATGTGAAACATTGACCCTTTGGGGACAAAGTCATCTCAGCACTTCAACGATCAAACGCAAGATGGCAGCACAGGACAAATTTGGCTCTTGGTATGACTTTCTAAGTGCGGTGCAGGAAGAGAGTTTTGCAAGTACCGAGCCAACAAAAGGAGGAACAAGCAGGACCTAGATCATCAAGTCAAGCCAGAGCTTTCCCTAGAAGCAAAAATGACAAAACTGAGGCTGTCATACCTTGGACACATCATGAAAAGTTGAGACTCCCTGGAGAAGACAATCACATTAGGGAAGGTTGAATGTGGAAGAAGAAAGAGAAGCATAACTATGAGATCGATTTAATCCATAAAGGAAGCTGTAGCCTTGAACTTGGAAGAGCTGAATGGAGCTCTCAAGAACTGGACATTTTGGAGGTCTTTCACTGATAGGGTCACCATAACTCGGAGATGACTTGATTTTATTTATTAAAACATTTCTATGCCGCTCCTTGCCGAAGCCTCGGGGCGGCTCACAACATCGAATAAAATACACAATGATTGCACATAACCAATTGCTCCCTCTGCACTACACCTCAAGCCTTTCAAAATTTTCTCTGCAGGCACTGATTTTAGCAATTGCGATCATAAATCTTGAGACTGGATTCCATTTTGGCCTCACATGTGCCACGTGCAAAGATGGGGTGCAGGAAGAGCGACAACTCAGCGGACTGTGGCTGCCAAAGGTCCCAAGTGGTACCTTTAATGTAGGACGCCCCTTCCTCAACCTGAGAACATGCAGAGAGAACATTAGGAACAAAATCAGTTTTTCAATTTAATTTAGTGGTGTCCTTTCTCTATCTGCTGCCCAAGACAACAGAACTACAGAGAGTTCCTCTGTTCTCAGATCATGGTTACCACCTGCAAAAGAGCTAGCTGCTTTGAAAATAGTGAAAACCGAGTATGAAAATGAAAGCTAAACGTTTAGGGATTAGGGTGTAATCTGAGGGGGGACAGATGCTGTATTAGAAGATCTGGAGGCCCAAGTCCAAACTTGGGAAAATTCTCTACACCAGGGTTCCAAATCTGGAGCTTTTGCATCTGGCTGACAAGTGTTTCTGCTTGCTTTGGCTTACAAATGGCAAGCGTGACTTTGGAACCAGCATCGTGGGATCAGAAGAAAAGCAGGGCTCTGAGGGCACGTGAGGAACACCAGCACTGCTTCAGCCAGCTTGCCACGCTTGGCTGCCCCATCAGCAGGGCCAAATGGTACTTCAGAGCCACCATTGCTGGCTCATTACCTTTAAAAGTTTGGGGACTGTACAAATGCATCTTGTAACCTTTTTACCAAGGTGGGCACCTACGAAAGATCAAAATACGGAGATTTGGTTAACCAATGCCCTGATAAGTGTCTGCTATCCAAGTAGACAACATTCATAAAACTTGTCCAAGCAAGACTTCATACACTGTGCACAGATTTGGCAGCTGCCAAGTGGCAACTGTCAATTGAAAAGCAGAGCAGTGAAAGCCTTTTTTTTCCTGGAACAGGGTGGCGTGTACAACTTACTTACACAAGCCTCTAGTACCCTAAGGTACTCCGGTAAAATGAGTTCGGCACTTTGCAAAGCTGCTTGGGGACTAAGTGATTGATTGATTTGATTGATTTATTTATATCCTATTTCCTGCAAAGGGCTCAAGGCAGCTTACATCATTCTCCTCCTCCATCTTATCCCCACAACAACCCTGTGAGGTAGGTTGGGCTGAGAGTCTGTGACTGGCCCAAAGTCCCCAGTTGGCTCCATGGCTGAGCAGGGACTTGAACCCAGGTCGTGAGTCCCAGTCCCAGGCTCTTAACCACTACACCACACTGGCTCTAAGTGTATTCTCATTCTCCAGTCTGCTAGCAGCCAAACAGTCCTATTGCTAAATTATTGAATTAATTAGGATTTTAAAATTAGCCGAGAATGCACCGGGGGTTTTTAAATGTTTTTTTTCTTTTAAATTATTATATTATTATTATGTATGTTTTTATGTATTTTTGTGACCCGCCCCAAGGCTTTGTTGTGATGGGGGCGGCATAGAAATGTTTTAAATAAATAAATAATTTTTTAATGACCTAGGTTCTGAGCAATCTTCAAAAAGCAGCCCAGTATAAAACATGTCACCATAGTCTAAATGTGTATGTTACCCGTGTGTGGACAATACTGAAATATTGTACTACATGGCACAAAAATGGAAAGAGGTCAAATTAGAGAAAAATTCAGAGCCAGTTCTTGGATTTTCTCGTATTCCAATGTTCAGAAGCAATACTTAGAGCAGGGTCAGGTAGATAATAATGCAGCATGATCTGAGTTCAAAAGTGTATTTCATTTATATAAAAGCAAACACACACAAAATATTCAGATAGAACAATTGCACAGAACACAAATGTAGAATGATCTGCAGGTAAGAAATGTGAGGCACAAATGTTCCTGCTTGGAACAGATGACAATCGTTCAAAGCTGTGTGAAAAATGTGTTAAGGACTGTGGCCATCTGCCCATTTCCTCATCCCGCGGATACCACTTGGACAGCATTTGCGTTGCTGTGATGGGGAACCAATTCCCGTTCCAGAGCGGTCATACAGTATCCCAGGGGATACAGAGAAGAAATACTAGGAAGCGTTATGGAGCAAATGGTTTGTCAGACTGTCAACTGTTGATCTAGTTGCTGAGGTTCAGCAATAAACCTGCAGAAAGCGTGCAGGACTAAAGAATATTTTCCCAATACCTCCAAACATATGCAGCCTCAGCAGGGGGAAGGACGACGACCTTCATCTGTTGCGGCTGCTGCAGTGCCCTCAAAGTGCAGAGCACATCATGATCCAGCAGCGCTCCGTGTCGTATCTGCCATGTTTGACCACCAGACTGTGCGGCCTTTCATTTCGGAGGCACATACGCATGCGACAGGGTAAGCAAGACAAAAGGGCGAGGCTCTCTCAGCCTAACTTCCCAAGACTTCCATGGTTCTCAAGTCCAAAGCCGTGCAAAATATGATTTGCTGCAAATTCAGGGATAACCAAGGAGGAAGATCATACTAACTTTGCTTCGTGGCTTTCTCTGGCTGTAAACATGATTTTTTTTAAAAAAGGACACCAATACTTAGAATTTTAACCAATTTTTGTCAGTTGTACAGAAGAATCTTGGGAGCCAATGATAGCCACTTGTTCTTACTGAAACAGTAGTTTGATTAGCTTTTAAATAATGAGTAGTCTATTAATCATTAAACAGATTTAACTATACACAGTAGTATTCTGCAAGAGCAATTCACCTTGGATAAAATAACTATCCATGAATTCTTTTTTACATATTTATTTCATAAAAATTACAAGAGAATGCATTGTAGGTGAGTTTAAGCTAACTTCAGTAGAAACACACAGAACATTAACAATAAATTCTGTTTAAAATATTGGCTTTTAATATTAAAACACACCTGGTAAAATAAATGGAAGAATATCTTACAGCATTTGGAATAATTAGAGTAATTTACTCTTACCAGAGAGTGCCATAATTGCACGACATTTAAAAAACACAATTAAATTTTAAAGAAAAATTATTTAAAAGTATATTTATTTAAAAACTGGAATAGAATCAATATAAAACCAGAATAATAAAGTACAAAATATTTTCTTCCATAATTTAAATGTACCACAAGCCCTTTTCTCTTTACAGTTAAATTTGGATTTTGTACCACCAGTTGTTAACTTTAAAAAAATCAAAAAAGTAATTTGCAATATAAAAAGTAAGCTCTCTCTAGTCTGCAATATAATACAAAAACATAGTTAATTATGTTTTAATAATAAAAGGTTACACATCTTAAACAGATGCAGTAAATGTTTGTTCTCCTGCATTGAACTGTTCCTTGCCCTTTGGCAAAACAGTTGGAAAACGAGAACTCGGGGAAGTACTGATTAATGGATCTGCAGGCTGGAAAAGCTTGAACGGAGGCTTCCACGAGTTTGAAGCCAGTTAAGGCATTTCACCCCCAGTCAAGTAAATTTATATGTAGACTTTTGTTAAGGAAAAAGCTAGTGACTGAAACGTGTACAGGCTGCTGTAGAACAAGAGAAAGGTAAAATGTTGCCTATTGGGCGCCACGGAAGATAATCTGTTCCTAGACTATGCAATGTTGTTTTACTGCTGTTATGAACCAAATGCCAGGACATAATCTGATGTGTTTTTTTGGATTATATTTATTAAAATATATGTTTCAAGAGGAAGGAAATACTTTCAACACTCAACAACAGCAATTCTACGAAATAATTTGATTCGGATGATCTGCCGTGCGTCAAACTAAATTACAAGTGACAGCCATAACAAAGAATTCTGAAAAGGGTAGGCAACATGGAGCTCATGGGCACCACAATCATCTTGGAAACTTACCTGGTGCCTGCCAAAGTTCTCCAACAGTCCCACTTATTTTAAAATTAATGAATTCATTTCTTACCAGAGCTGTTACTGCTGTGCAATTAGTTACTCTTTGTGCTAAAACCTGTGGCTCACAGAACTTTAGTGTTTCGGGGCCCACATCCCACCCTTCTGTTTCATACTCGAATTTTTCAATAGGAAGACAAGGTCACCAATCCTTAGCTATGCCTCCTCCCGCTCCTCAGCAGCCATTTTGTGGTGGGGTTACGGACACTTAATTTCTCCAATTGCTAAATGTGATCAAGGCCCAAGATGCTTACCGCCTTCAATCGTTTAGGAACAGTCCACCTGATGCAGTGCTTTCTCCCATATGGTCCTACCCAATTGCTAAGATTGCCTTCAGAGGCTCTCATTCTTATTTCTTGGTTGAAATATTTCTTGGTCAACTTCACGGCTTCTCAGGGCAGTAGTAATAGTTCAGCATAAAAATGGGACGATATTAATAATGATAAACCAGAACAAAGACAATCATAGTAGACAATGCCAGAATGAAGCAATATGTTTGCAAGGCCTTCTTAGAAGTTTGTCTAATGGCAACTAATTTCAGAGACATACTGCCACTGCAGAGCAATTCTGGGTGCCACTGCCCGCAATGGTGTGATGAACGGCTACCTGAAGCTTTTTCTACAGAGGCCTCCCATCTTTCCCTCTCAGGGAGATCCGCCTGGCATCCTTACTGAACAAGTCGACACACCAATTTAAGAAAATCCTCTTTAAGCTGGCATTTCTCTTCTACTCTTGCTTTTTTTGGCCACTGGCACCTCAACATTTTTAACACTTGTATTATTGTATTATTATTTTAAATTATTCTTGGTTATTTTGACCACTTCAAGAATATTTGCAAGTATATTAACCAACAAAGGTTATCTAAGTCTCCTCTAGAAGTACGCCCAGAAATTCAAAGGAACTCAAAAACAACAACAATATGCATCCCCCAATCAGTGACTGGGAGTTGCTGGAGATCTGTGAGAACAACCAACATGGGTTTCTGAAGCATGAAACAACCCACACTTATCTCTTGATTAGCAGTTGGAAATGTGGGTTGTTAACAATTGATTAATCCATGGTATCAAGTTGCACATTCTATGTCACAATCCCCTGATCATCCTCATTGGAAGTTTCTTATTCAAAACGGTGGTCAAGTGCACCTCTACAGACATGGGTTAATTGTCGATCAATAAGGCCACAACAATCTGGCATTATTAGATACTCCATATAAACCAAATCAGTTCCGCAAATTTTGACAACTGCTGAGAACAAAACATGTTTAAGGGAGACTTCTATTTTTGCAAAAATCACTATAATGTTTTAGCTAGCTTATGGAAGGATATGAATCATAATCCAGTGTTTGAGTAAGAACGCCAGTCAAAACAAACTCTGCATTGTGGACATCTGCAAATGGAGAGAGAATACATATACATCAATGGAGACGAATACACTGTGGTGAATTTTCATTACAGATTTGGAAGAGCCTGAAACTCATCAGTTTATTCCTTTGCACTACTTTGCCCCAGAGGATGTGGAGCCAGGAATTATCAGGTCAAAGTAAGGAACACACTGATCACTTGTTCAAAGTAACTATGAAGCTGGCTGTGTGCACACGTGAAACTGTCTGATGCCTAAAAGCACCCATATTTGATGAAGCAGGCTACATTAATGTAGGGACACCTAGCAGCTGACTCCTGAGGACAGATCTCTGTAAGCTGTGCCAGAAGAATACAGAAGAATTGCAGCTGCTCAGCTGCACAACACGTTTAAGTGGCCACTTAAAAGCTGGGCATGCACCAAAATGAACTTGAGCTGTGCTACACTTAAAGTAACATCTTCAGCATTAGGTGGTACATATGAATTCAGATTCTTTTAATTCAACACATGAAATTCTGTGGCAAGAAATTAAATTTCTCATCCTGCCTCTTACGCTATTATTTTACTCTTCAGCTTTAAGATACAGTGGAGAGAAACACATGCAATTTTTCACATTCTCCACAGTGTTTACTAGAAGCAGCAAGTGAAAACCTAGAAAGGAAAAGGCAGGAGGAAGGCCAGTCAGAACTGGGGAGAGAGACTGCTTTGGACACTGTGCTTACAAGATCAGCTCAGGATAATTATCTAAAGACTATAATTTCTAGAGAATTCTGTTAATGTGTTGCAACAAGCAAGAAAAATCTTCAGATGCCACAGCACTACCAAATCTATGGCATGAGCATTTGTGCACTAGATCCCCAAACCCACAAACCACTATCGACCAGGTGTTGCCATGAGTGAAGTGTGCGCATTTATCTTTGGAAACAAACAATATTATTGGCATCTTGCAGGGCAATCCTATGGCTGCTAGACACAGGATTGCTCTGATTTCCTGCGCGGGAACTGGAACTGCTCCAAGCTACAAGCTAGGAACCCATGGTCGGATCATCACCACTCCAGGTGACACAGAAAGAAGTGTTCCACCTGTTCCTTCAAGGCCAAAGAAGGGATCTTGGGGAAGGGGTCAGTGAGTAAAGAAGGAACAGCTGACAAAATATGATGTATTCACAGCAGCTCCTTGGCCCCCTTTTCCCCTGCCTTGCAACACCACAGTGAGACAACCAAATCAGCCATCTAGCTGTTGTACAAAGCAGAAAAAGTGCAGAGGTGACCTTTAACTCTGCTCCTTCTACACTGCACAGAATGCTTATAACCATCTGCATTCACGTCATCAGTTACACGATTCTTCCTAAGTTGCCAGTATATACCCAGTGTTGGAGGGATGAGTAACAAGCACATGAAAATTAACAGAGGCCATTTTCAAAGCAACGATGTGAAGTTCCACATTCCACCTCCCGCAACCTGACAATTATTTGGTATACACATGGAAATTATACAACTATTTCAGGCATGTGATAAAGTGGATTCTAGCTCACAAAAGCTGAAGTTACAATAAACTTGACATCCCAATCCCGAGATTACAAAACCTTCCTCTGCCTACTTTCTTCAGTTGCTTTGTAAGGGCCTGCCTACCACTGCCTGTACTCTAAGTGCCAAGTTGCATTGTTCAAAATAGAAAAGTTGTACATAGATAACACACACATACCTATGCCTCTGGCGAAGTATTCTCGACATAAGTGAAGATCATTTTCACAAGAGATGAGGATAATCTCTGACAAGCTCTAAATTAAAAAAGAGAGTTGAATCAGTTGAAATAGTCTAAATGTCTGAGCTGAAACACTATAGAAAATCAATCCACACTCACTTTATTTTGTTTGTGTTCCATTAGTTTTCGGATGGAAGGTTGTTTGGACAATACCTTTCCCCCTGCACATTCCACAATAGATTTCATGGTGGAAAGGCTAGGACATATTCCAGGTGTGATATAGAAGTACTTTCCCTAAAAGACAAAAGCAAATTGGTATTTTGCCTGTCTGCCATTAACTAGTATAAAGGCAGTAACAAATTATTTTTACCGTCACACAAAATAGCATTAGGAATTGGTCTGCACACTTCCTGTCAGTAAAAGCACTTTATTTATTGGTATGTTAACTTCCTCCCACCGTCCTGAGGAGCCTCTTTCATTGTTAGATTTATTCTGCAGAAGCTGACAAGGCTGATTCTGACTTTTTTGCAATCCTACCTATTACATTATCTTGAGATAGCACCATCCTTTCTGTTTAAATATTGCATCAAATGTATTGTCATGTACTAATATTCAGTGGTTTATTATTTACAATACCACATTATTAGTAAGCACGTAACAATTCTAAGGGTTGAGAAATTTAAAAAGTAGAAACTCTATGTGCAGGTTAGCAATCGAAAAATGAAGGAAAGACGTATTGGATGGGACAGGACAAGTCAGGTGTGTTTTACAGGGTAAACTTCAAAGCAAAAATGGAAGGAAGTTGAGGCCAGGCAGGAGGGCAGAAGTTATATGGTAAATGGGATACAGCAAAAACCAAACAGGGTAACATTAGGCTGAATATAAGATTTGTGTCTGTTTAGTAAAAATTCCATTGAATAGCATGTAAAGAAAGAAGTGATATTAATATAAGAGAACGATGCTTCTGAAAATTAAACACTTGTCCTTCGTTAACTGAGATGAGGAAGTGAACAAATGGCTGCAACTTTTTGTTTTAACCTTCTGATAGAATTGAATTAATAGAAGCCCTTTTCAGTGGATGAAGCCTGCCAAATTTCAGACAAAAAGGTGCTGTGATTTCTGAGCTAGATACAATTGAAGGATAGGGTTATTTTAAAAACAAATTTTAAAATTATTTTTATTTTCAGTGGAGTAGCTATGTTAACCTGTTGAAAGAAAAGCAGAGAGACTTTTGAAACCTAAAGACTTAACTCATTTACTCAGTCATAAGTTTTTATAGATGCATGAAGTCTTAACTTAAAATTGGCAGATTTATATAGCCACAAACATGCCACGTTGGCTAGAAAACATGAATGTGCATCCAAACTGAACTGAAATGCAAAAAGGTACAGAAAGTGGCCCAGTCCACACTATTATGGATTAAACAAGCCACGGTGGCTTGTTGATGCTACAGCGCATTACTTGCCTACCTACCCACCTGGGTGCAACTTGGCATCCTGCTGAAACCCAGGCAGCATGGTGTATTTGAAAGGGAATCAACCCTCAGATAAGAAAACAACAGGCCATGGGCTTGTTTTCCTGGCCAGAGAAGTCACGCTGCTTGTTTGGATGACATGGCAAGCAGCCCCTCCGTGGGTAATTAGACAAGCAAAATCCAGCATGCACCAAGGCATAAGCAGTGATGCTTACCTTAATAGTTGCCATTCACAAACCATAGCTGTTTGTGGTTATATGTGTTTTTAGTAGCAGGAGCAGTGATAGTAATAGTAAAATGTGATGCAATGTGATAAAATACAGATTAACTGCAATAAAAATCCTTTCACATTATTAATGCTACAGAAAAAGTACCAAAATACAGTTCTCTAAGAACTGTACTTTAGCAGTGTTTAAGGTAATAATCCCTGATCGCTCCCTCTGATAACTGTTCTTTTGCTGGAGATATTGTGTATTTCTGAAAATGCTGGGCATTTCCCCAAGCTTGCGGGTATCTCCCTCTTGTGCATGAATGTTGCCACCCTGGCTTCTTAAGGGCCGATATCTGAAGAACTGAGATCAATAATGTATATAACAAAACCCAGGCCAGTATACATGAAAAGGAGTATTTAATCATTTGCTTCAAAGTTCTGTGCATTCAGAACCTTTGAAAAATTCTGTACCTTAAAGAGTGGTGCCACTTGAGCTCGCTTTAGTGACTCCTCTAAGCTGAAACAGAAAAGAACTTCAGCTTCTGCATCTCTGAGAATGTAGCTCTGCTCTTCTAAAATGGGGGAAAACACAGTGGTAACTATTAATAACACAAAAAGAAATAAGCATTATTGAGAAAATAAACACTAACAGAACAGATGGTAGTGTCTGAATTTGTATCATCAGATTTTAGATCACTTTAGTTGTTCCATTGCTTGTTTCAGAAATCTTTCTCATATAAAAAGGAAGTTTGCAGTGGGGCAACTTCCAGTTGACTTTTTTAGAAAAAGTCAAGCAAAATGAGAAAACATCTTGAGAAGCCTAAAGGCTCCACCAAGACCATGGCATTGATCACATGTAATGCAAACCCAGACAACAGGGTGCTGCTGATTGTGGGCCGGTGGAGGTAACAGGGGGATACCACTCTGAAAATCAATGATGTTCTCAAATTATTAAAAAATGCCCTATGAGTCCATAGTCATATAGAAGAGTGTTAATACAGACTATAAAGACTTGTATCTATTGCTTTTTAACATTATATCCATTAGTAAAAAGAATGAACATGGCCTGATTTTAAAATAGATGTAGCATTTATTGACTTGAAATTTATAAACTGAAAGAGCCGTTCATACTTGTTTTGCCCAGCACTTAGAAATTTCTTCTATTAACTAAGACAACTTTAATAATTAACATTACACATGCATTTTAAGCATTTCAAATTAACTTCAGTTTACTCCACAACAACAATCCTTAACAGCACAACCGACACCGACGTGCATGCACCATTATCTTTTAAGAGACTTGAAAGAAGCTCTTCACATCACTCACATTGACCAAAACAAGCATTTTCTTACCTATAAACTTCTGGCACTTGAAACACTCTTCTAACCATTCAGGGGTTACTATATGTTTTACAACTGAAATTGCTGTTAGGAATTTCACGGTACGTGTCACTTTACTAGCTATAAGGTGAGTGCATTTCTGGGCAGATTCTGCTACTTCGCCCCCAAGAATGTATAGTTTCTGAAAATTATGAACAAACAAAAATGGATTAGAACCCTCAGTCACATCATAATCCATCAACCAATTCTCTCCAGAGGAGGAGAAACATACACCTCTATTACAGTCCATTTCATGATGCACAGGCACATACTGAACCACTGAAGAGCACTGCAGCTGATAGATCAAGAATCATCTGATCCATCCCCCCAGAGGTTCTGTTATGGGTGGTATGGAAATGTAACGAACAATAATAATTTTAAAAACTGTCTGCAATGCTCTACTCGTATTTGTGCAACGGCCGATTCAAACCTGCAAGTTATCAGTTTGCAACAAATATATCCCTATGTGAAAACATCCCTTGGACCTACAACACAGCTATGTAGAAGACAGTTTCTTCTTTTACTCAAAAGGAGGGAGGGAGGGAGGGAGTCACCTTGATGTACTGATGCACCTGTGTAGGCTCAAATCCTGTAAAGAGCACCACTGGTGTCAATTCTGGCGTCAATTTCTTAGTAGGCGCTGGCAAGTCTTCAATTCTAAAATATAAATTATTGTTACTGTTGAGCACTTCAGGACTTGAAAATGCAAAAATTGTGTTAAACCATCTGGACGATTAAAATCAAAATGGAGAAGGCCCATGAAATGTATAAACATAACACAGCAATCAGTTTAGATTTAACTGTTTTCGGTTTGGATTTAATTGGTGTAACCATTTTTTTGAGTAAGGTATCCATGAAGGGCAATATTTTACAAGGTTCAAGTGATGAACTTAAAAAAAGGTTTGAGTGATACTTCAAATAGCTCCCCAATCTTTAAAGTTTATGCATTCTCTTTTCTTCAGCTGAGTTCTTCATACTCCCCTTGTTTAAATGTTTTCTCTACACACTGTGTAGAAAGTTTATTTTCTTATATGTTTGGATCCACATGTCCCCTTCCCAAACCCTCCTCCTCCTATTTCGCCGTTCCTTGTGGAACAAGCTTCTCACTAGAGAACCATCAACTGCAATGCAAAAATTGCTTGAGGTTGACATTTAAAATGGATGTAATCACTTCTGGTAACAATGTGCCATTCAAAAGGAACATCCGAACTACTGGAGGATGGCCTTCTCTCACCTTGGCCGCTTGGTTGAAGGCTGAACTACTGCTTCATTTTGCTTTGGTTTAAGCGGTAATCTCACACCCTGCAATTAGACAATGTGTATATATATATATATATATAGTTTTCCCATGCACTAATTATTTAATATTATCTCACAGAAAAATCTTTTAACTATGAAAAAGCAGATTTAGCACCTGCATTTAAAACACAGTTGCAAGCACAATCTTATACACAAGCATTCATCAATGTCAATGGGGTATACTTCAAAGAAAGTGAGATTAGTACTACAGCCTGAATGCAACAGCATAAGAAACTACAAGTGCTATATCTAATTTTTATTTTGTGCACACTATACTACATTGTGCTTCACCCATCAGCAAATATATACATTAAAAATTCCCTTAAAATCTTATGAAAGATGATGTTCAGGACATGTTCAAAGGTATCTATAGAAAAATAATGGTCCAGCTAGCATATAATGTTAAGCCAGGATTTAGCATTATTTAAGTAGGAATGTGCCTGCAAGAAGCATTAGGTTCAAGAGTTCCCCAGCCAGGAGAAATATACTAGTTTATAGTTTAGTACTAGCCATGTTTAAGTATGAACCTTTCTAGAAGAGAGGTTGTGGGACTAAGCAAGTTGCCACAATTCTGGACAATCTTTTACACTTTCCTCAGTGCAACAAAGTTCTGTACATCCAGCGCATATGGAATGAATTTATGGGATTGGAGCACCTATTTCCTATCATTATGTTTTCAGGGAAAATCTAAAATTTCTCAGGAATAGCTCAGGAAGTTTCCTGGAGTACTTTTTGCAACAGTGTAAGATGGGGAAGAGCTTCATACAAAATGCTAGAATAAGCCACAAATAAAAACGTGGATCAAACTGTTTTTTGCTAATCTTGCAACATATGCTAAGTAGTACCTTGGATGCTAAACAGGAAACACAGTCCCAAATACTGACAGATGGTAAGGAGTGCCAGTTCTCCCGCCGCTGTGTCCAGACTCTGCAGCCGCCTACTAATGCCAAGCCCTGCAAGCTTCCCACATCAGAGGCCAGGCTGCTGTCGGCTAACAAAAGGGCTACTTCAGCTGCAGCACATTACATTCAAGGATGTAACCCAGGCTTCCTAGCGATCATTTAGGTGTCAGGCAAAACAGCTTCTTTATTTATCCAGGCATTTCAACTGCTGCTCTTATTTCTGGCCTGTTTCAGTGTTGTGTGCTATGGCATAGGTTTTAATTCTTATATTGTTGCAAACTGCTCAGAAATCTATTTTACATGAACATCAATATAAAAATATTTCAATTATATTCCTTCTTCCAACTGCCATGTTTTTCCATGCCTCACTGAAATCATAGTTAAAATTTAAAAGAACTAAATATTTAACCTACATACCGTCAGAAGTTCTGGTGATACTTTCAACGGAACCCTCCAAGCATCTGGAAATAAAGAACAGAATCGGTAATAAGAATAACTTCTCATACTAACTGGTGCTCCATTGAACACATGCAATATATATAGCACACACAATCTGACAGTCTGCATGCAACGTTCATTTATTTCACAAATAAAAGGAAACTTTCAGTGACTAAGTGGAGTCTATATGAAGTCCATCAATAAGAACGTATTGTTTCAGGTACTAACTCCTATTACTTCCACTTCTGCTTTAATCTTCCAGTAGTATAATCCTAAAAATAAGCAGCAAAGTACTTTAAAGTACTTTAAATCAATTATTAAACAACAAAAAGGCCAGTTTAATTTTCTGATTTAGATCAAGTTTCCCATTGATGCTACCTAAAGTTTTCCTACAAACAGTAATGCATGTCTATTAAACCAGGTTAATTTACAGCTAAAACATTATTACAGTGACTGGGTTTGGACAACACAATAAGCTATGGTGAGACGTGAGCCTTGATTGTGGCAGTGTGGCTTATTTTGATGTCTGAACAACATCTTTCTGCCCGTGAAAGATAGATCCTGTGAGGTTTTGCACTGCAAGTCAAAAGCACAAGCAGCACATATACAAGCATGCCTTGAAAAATACCAATTCAAGAAGTATTAGGAACTGGTTGTTACTATTGCATAGAAAGAAACATTTGTTTTTTATGCGTCATGTTTATAAGATCTTCTTACCGAGAAGATTTAGAATGAGATGCTGATTGGGAGCAAGTGGTTCTTGAAGATTAAATACTGTATAGCGATTGTGCTGTATCTGCCGCAGAGCATCAAAATTTCCAAGTAATATATCACAGAGCCATTGTGCGTTCACACATGGTATCCTCCATTCTTTGGCTTTCTCATATTTTAAGCCACTAGGCCTTGTTAGAGAGGAGAAAGAAACACATGAACAATACTAAGCATGTTGAACATACTAATCTTTGCATTTGGCTTTTCATTTTACATATTATTTTTGCACATTATTAAAATATTATTTATACTGAATGATGTTCGTCCATCGTTTTCGATGAGGACCTTGACATATAACAGGTTGTGAGTTGTCCGCGGTGTGTCCGCAGGTGGCTGATAAGGCCAATACGGGCACGGAGTGTTCTGCCACATGTCAGGCAGACATGTGTGGGCACCACTGTTGCAACATTTGCAACTCTGGCTTTACGGAGTGCTCGCTTCTCTTGTGCTATGGTTGTCCTTCTGGCTTCAGAAGTTTGGCAGCCTTGGTGGATCAGCATGCGCCATGTCGATTGGTCTTGTGCCAGGGTCTCCCAGGAGGTGGTGTCAATAACCAGGGACTTGAGAGAGGCTTTCAGCATGTCTTTGTATCGCTTCTTTTGTCCCCCGTGTGATCACTTTCCTTGAGACAGCTCACCACAGAAGAGCTGTTTGGGGATGCGGTGGTCTGGCATCCTTGCAACACGGCCTGCCCAGCATGTCTGGGCTTTCATGAACAGGGTGTGAACTGATGGCAGGCCTGCTCTGGAGAGGACCTCTGTGTCTGGCACCTTGTCCTGCCACCAGATCCTCATAAGTCTGTGGAGGCAAGTCGTGTGGAAGTGGTTCAGTTGCCTAGCGTGCCTCCTGTATACTGTCCAAGTCTCACTGGCATACATCAGGGTAGTTAGCACTACTGCTCAGTAGACTTTAAACTCTGTAGCAAGGCTTATTCCACGGCGGTCCCACACTTTGGTCTGCAGTCTGCCGAATGCAGAGCTTGTCTTGGCGATTCTGCAGTTGACCTCGATGTCAATTGTCACTGTGCGGGAAAGGGTGCTGCCAAGGTATGTAAATTGGTCCACTGCTTGCAGCTTTTGTCCCTTCACTGTGATGGTGGGTTCTTGGTATTGGGCTTTTGGAGCTGGCTGATGCATCACTTTGGTTTTCTCTGTGTTGATGAGGAGGCCAAGGTTGTCGCATGCTACTGCAAATTTGTCCATGCTGGCATGCATTTCCTGCTCTGATCCAGCATTCAGGGCACAGTCATCAGCAAAAAGGAGGTCTCGTAGCACAGTCTCCTTTATCTTGGTGACAGCCTGGAGTCTTTGCAGGTTGAACGGTTTCCCATCAGTCCTGTATTTCAGGCTGACTCCCAAGGAGTTGTTCTGAAAGGCATCTGTCAGCATAGCTGAAAACATTATGCTGAACAGGGTCGGTGCCAGCACGCACCCTTGCTTGACGCCATGTGTGACGGGAAAGGCCTCTGAAGCTTCTCCGTTGTCCAAAACACGAGCTGTCATACTGTCGTGGAACTGACGTACCATCAGGATGAATCTGTCAGGGGCCCCAAACTTCGACATGATGCACCACAGACCTTCGCGACTCACAGTGTCAAAAGCCTTGGTGAGGTCCACAAAGATGGTGTACAGTTCGCGATTCTGCTCTTGACACTTCTCTTGGAGCTGTTGGGTTGCAAAGATCATGTCCCCAGTGCCACACTCTTTGCAGAAGGCACACTGTGTCTTTATACTATGATTATATTGAAGGATGGTATCCTATATGGATCTTTCAACTTGTCAGTAACTTAAAGGTGCATAAAAGCATACAATTTAAGATCAAATTCCAACTTACTATCCTTTTATCATTCAAAAGAAAACTTTTAGACTATGGTATGGTTTAACAGTGTAATTGAAAAAGTGGATCATCTCTAGCACAATATGTTATCATGCTAAAGAAAACTGTGCCACACTGTGCCAAAAGCATGACTTACTCTTTACAGATGAGAACTGTGTTGCTGCGACAAAGGTAGCCTGTATACTTTGCACCTGCTAGGTACGCCATCAGCTTGAGGTCATCCCTGTCACTATCGACAAAACCTGTCACTGAAATTATCTGGGACAGAAAAGGACAAAGTTATACATATGAGTGTAAATTAGATACTTCTACCAATTGCCATAAACATTCAAGTATCTCAGAACCACTGAAAGATGCAAAAAAGTTGCCTATGTCTTGCCCATCCCTTCCTACCACTGTGTGAGGAAGACGATAATGCTAGCCCATTTTTAAATGCCTATCGAGAGCAAAAGAGCCCTGTTCCTTAATCCAATTGTCTGAACTGGAATCAACAGGTTAATTTTGCTTCCCAAGTTTTCACTTCTGTCAAAGCATGCTATGACATTTTGACTGTGCTAGTCTTCCATTTTATTTATCTAAGTATTTTTAGTCTCCCTTTCATCCTCAAGGTGTATTTCCTATTCATTCTATTTCTTTCCCACTCTTTTTCCTGACAGAAACTCAAGGCAGCTTATATGATCTCTCTCTTTTTCCATTTATCCTCATAACAACCGTGTGAGATAGATTTGTTTGAGAGTCAGGGAGCAGCCCAAAGACACCCAGTAAACTTCACTGCCCAATGGATCTAGCACTTGAACCTGCTCCAACACTCTTACCACTATGCCACATGGGCTTTCCAAGTTAGGCAAAGCAGTTGCAACAAAGAGTAACTTATCTGACTTAGGAAGATCCAAGGCTTGAGAAACAGAACTGACAAATTAAGTCAAAATTCAGACATTTAATTATGAAGCGGTGAAGTCCTCAGGAAAGTAATCTTTAAATTCATTTTCACGACAAGTTCCATTTTTCTAATATTTCAGGTGGGCACCAAAGTTGCCATATAACAGAAAACCCTTCACAATGCAATAACTTCAGTAATCTTACCCTGGAATGGTCACACCCATCAGTTCAACACCCAAAATTTAAACAGGCAAATCATTTCTATTACAGAACAAGCAAATAAATCCCATGGATTTCTGGTGGAACTTGAATTCATGTATGACATATAAGACCAGGCAAATGGCCATCCTGAATTAGTTCATGTAATTCCATTTATTCCAATTACACAATATTTGCAAACACTGAACCTTCCATATATTTTTGTACTTGTTTATATAAAGCACAGCTTAAGTAAAATAATGGTGGCAGCACCTTTCAAGCAAAATATGAGTCGTCTCAGTATCTGCTCAGAAAGCCTTTGGGCTAATATGGAAGAACATATATTTAATAATAAATAAATTAAATATTAGCTTTAACTTTCTTACATGTTGAGAACATGGTTTCCCTCCTGCTGGAAATGCTACTGGAAAATGAAGAGCTCGATGAGGCGGTATCATTTTCTTCTTTTTCAGGACTGAGTTCAACCAGTGTGCAGTGATACATCTCTTCTTTTCTCTCAAAGCCTGCAAAACATACATACAATTGCACAGCTAACCTCATGTTTGTTTGTTTATTTGGGATATTTTTAGGCCATCTAATCAAACTGAGTCTCTGGACGGCTCACAATGCTGCTCCATCCAGAACAGGCTGTACTCCCAAAACCTAGGCTGCTCTGCCTACTGACTAACAGGTTGTCAGTTCTGCACCATCTTCTGGGAACAGTCAGCAAATAGAGGTGAAACCACAACACAGTGCCTCCAAATTGGCAAAAGGTTCCACAAGGAGGATGAATGTATCAGTAGCTACTCAGAGGTCCAGCAGAACCAATGCAGAGGAATGTCCCTGTGCAGGTCATCAAAACAAGGCAACCAAGGCCGTTTCAGGCCTGAAGCCAGATTGAAAACTATCAGTTTTATCCATCTGCTATCATGTCCTTCAAGATCTTACTCAAAAAAGAGATTTAGAACTAGCCAATAATGAACAAGTGAGATCAGAGCCAGTGAAAGCTTCTTCAATAAAGGTCATATAAAGCTTTCCTTTTTCAAGAAGATAACAATCTCCACCACCCAACTGATAAACAAGGATGGATGTGATCTAAGGAGCGGTTACTATGACCACTCAAAAGTAACTTGTCCTCTTCCAGCTGAACAAACAGGAACTCACTGGTCGAAATTGAACAAGCACCTGCCTCAATCATCTGACTTGATTTTATTTTTAGGCCATCTAATCAAACTGAGTCTCTGGATGGCTCACAATGCTGTTCCATCCAGAACAGGCTGTACTCCCAAAACCTAGGCCATGAGCAAATACACAGTTCTGCATCATACTGTCTTACCTGAACATGCATATTACTAAGCTGACTTTCACAGAGAAGATGTGTACATCGGCTTGTGAGTGTAGGATCTACTGTACCACCATGTGCCTGGATTATCTTGAATAAGAGGAAGACACATTTAAAAAGCTTGTCAACCTAATACATCTCGTCACAAATTCTTCTCCATATTGCATCCATGCCAAGGTTTAAAAAGACACTTGCATGAAGATACTGACACCCTTACTGGTAAGGCTGAATAATGTTTTTTAGGATATGAAACTTTTAATATGCTAGAAGTATTATATAGACTGAAGATAAAAGAGAAATAAATTATGTCTAAAGCCATCCAGTTGAAAGGGAAATAAAGGAGAGCAGAAAATAAAGTGCTGCATCAAAGATAAAGATTTTAGACATGAACACATTAATATTTTAAGTAACAGAAAATACAAGCATTTTAAAATGATCTATTCAACCTATTAAACAGTATCTGGAAAAGTTTTTTACAAAAATAATGAATGGAATCAATAGTTACCCTTTTCCACGTTGCCAGTAGCTGTTTATCAGACATCTGCTCAGGGTAATCAGCAATTGCAAATACGCAACCCAATAAGAAATAGTCTTCTGGAACTAAAAGGGAAGTCCAAATGGAATTATGTTTCAGCATGTTTTCTTTTTAGGTAATAATTAAAGGCCTATTATCAGAATGAATTTTTCTTATGTTCTCGATTGTACTTAGATTCATCTGTCACAAAAAATAACATTTCTTCCTGTCCAGAGCTGCACTCATGGAAATGCTGCAAATGTGGGAATGCTGGAAAGCAGGTGTTGGGACTTGCGAGGGTATTCTACAAATGCAGCAGTCTTGTGGACACGGTCCACACTATGGATGTACCAGTCCAGGTGCTGAGTGCCAAGTATCCCCTCCACCTATTGCATATGAGGTAAAGAAGCACCATGCAAAGATTGCCCTTGATTATGATTAAAGTGCATGAAAGCTGTTTTGCAGACAGTAAACTTTAAGTTGAGACCACTATGAGTCTGTCACGGGAAGGAGGTCCACTTTCACCAGCACTATTGATCCAGCCTTGATCTAAATCAAGTCCCCATTTCTGGATACTTTGTCATCCCATACCCAATGACATGTGGGGCAAGGTCTTTTATGCAGTTACCACAAGGTCATGGAGCTCACTCCTAAGGTATAGAGATACTCCCTTGCTTTTTGGTTCTCAGAGAGCCAGGTAAAATGTCTCACAGTTTCTTTGTACTTTGGGGAACTCCTCCTCAAGTCTTAGCTGTTTTTACTAGTAATCTGGTATCTTATATTGATATTTCTGTGGCTTTAAACTTGCACATTTTAGAACAGATTTACAATCCACCTTGTATTTATTAATTTTAAAACTTATTTAAAATTTTTTAAATCCTCTGCCGTTTCTCTAGGGAATTCTAGCTGAACCACACAATTTAATTAAAAAACAGGTGATTTAAACAAAAACTGCAGCAGAAAACCACATGCAAAAGCAATCAAAATGCTTAACATACCAAGAACAAACAGCAAATTAAATTACACACTAAATGCTTTCCTAAAAGTGAAGGTCTTCACCAATTTCCAGAAGTTCATTAATGAGGCTGTATGACTTAGGGCAGTGGTGGGGAACCTATGGCACATGTGCCACAGCAGGCATGCAGAGCCCTCTCTGTTGGCACGCGAGCCAAGTTGCCCCAGCACCACCCCAGCAGCCAAGCATTGGACAACAGCACACACAGGGGCCATGTGCATGCTCAGAAAGGAGTAGCGGCGCCAGGTGATGATGCCACAAGCCACGACTCATTAGCCACGACTCGCCCGAGCTTTTGCATGGCTGGTCAGTGCACTGTCAAGGATATGTATATTTGCTTGGACTGGCTGTGAGCTGTTTTTTTCTAAACTTAAACCTCAGTATTCAGGTTTTATTGCAGTGTTGGCACTTTGCAATAAATAAGTGGGCTTTGGGTTGCAGTTTGGGCACTTGGTCTCTAAAAGGTTCGCCATCACCAACTTAGGGCATTTCCTTAGTTCCAACTAGATGCATCTCAAAATTGCTAAGACAAGCAGGAGGGCCTCCAAAGCCATCCTCAACAGTTATGTGGGCTTGTATGGGAGAAGAAAGCACCTCAAAAAAACCTGGTCTATTCAGGATTTCAAAGTTTATCACCAGCACCTCGATGGGACATAGAAACAAACTGAAAGTCAGTTCCACTGTTTCAACAAAGGAGCCATATGTTCCTTGCACACAACCCCATTAATAATGAGGCTGCTGGACCCATCAGTTTCCAAATACTCTTCATAGCCAACATGGCTTAATAATGACTAACCTTCTACAGAGGGATCATGTCCGAAGAGCTGCTGCTGCTGCAGTTGTGGCTGCTGCTGGGGATGCTGTGGTGGCTGAACTGGAACCTGATGCTGCAGTGCCTGAGATGCTTGAGCCAAGTGTTGTGATGCCTGATTTTGCATTTGTTGCTGCTGCTGAATGCGCTGCAAATGCTGCTGCTGCAACTGTTGCTGTTGAATCTGTTGTTGCTGATGCTGCTGTTGTAACTGCTGCTGAAGGTTTTGCTGCTGGAGTTGCAGCTGCTGCTGCTGGAGCTGCTGCTGCTGGAGCTGCTGGAGCTGCTGCTGCAAGGCATGCTGCTGCTGCTGAAACTGCACAGCTGTGGACTGCTGAAACTGCTGCTGCGGGCGATGCATCTGCTGCTGGGAATGCAGCTGCTGGGCAGGGAACTGGAGCTGCTGGGAGTGCAGCTGCTGCTGGGTAAACTGGTGCTGATGAACTTGCTGCTGTGCAAACTGATGAGGCGGCTGTGCGAAGGGCTGCTGAGGCATCTGGGGCGGCTGTGGCGGCGGCGGCTGCGGCAACTGCATGATTTGTTGGGGCTGGAGATGCAAGAGTGGGTGGTGCTGCGGCGGCGGCTGTTGCGCCTGCTGCGGTTGGTGCTGCTGCGATGGATGCTGCTGCTGCTGCTGCAGTAAGTGTGTTTCTGGAGTGAGTTTAACTTGGCTAAGCAATACCGCGTTTGCATGTCCCTGCTGGCTATGGTTAACCTGTTGCTCCAAAGTTTTCGTAGGTGCAGAAAGTGACTGTAAGATCTACAAAACAAAAGGAATGCATGTGACCTTCAAGCAGGCTTCAAAGAAAAAAAATCATTTTTTTTTCAAATGTGAACAGCCTTTTGTAATATATTAGGGATTTAGTTTATTAGAACAGCATTCCACTAGGGATGGGGGGGGGGAGAATCTGGTTATTCCACAAGGCAGATTATTTTAAAACAGAAGTGAACTGATCAAAATTTAAGTCAAGTGTGAGCATAAAACATGTTTGTGGTTATTTTCCTATATATCTGGGGTTTACTGATAAGTAGTTCACTCACAATAAAGCAATATACAGCAGACTCAAAACAGCAAGATCAGTTCTGTATTCTTACACATTTCTTCACAAATCAGTAGCTTTCATGAGGAACAAATGCTGTGATTACACAGCATTGGGTAAATGTCACAAGAAGTGTGGCATCTCTGATGACAAAAGTACAACCCTAAATTATGCTTCTTTACTTTGCAAGCGGGTTACACATTCTAAGAGAAAGGCAAATGTTAAGTAACAGAAGACATTCCAAAGTGATCACTTGCTCGCTCTTTAAAGCATTTTCTCTCCTTCAAGGGTTCAGAGGCAAGTGTGGATCCTTACATAGTCAAATAGCATCACTGATACATAAATGATCAGAAATGATGGAGAAAGGTTTGCAGCAGCACAAAAATTCTCTGGGGCAGTTAAAAATACCCAAGGTAGGAAAGAATCCAGTGAAGACTTAGGAGTGTGAAGCAGCCACAGAATGCTAATTGACCATTGTCAGGGCAGGGCAGAACAGCTTATTACACAGGAAGACTGACTGGAACAATGAAAAGGAGCACTCCGTACTACTCCACATTTTGAGGGTGATCACATTTGTATGGTATAAAAAGACTTATGTGGAAAACTTTCACAATCTAAAAGTAGACAAGATTAGTCTCAAAGCATACATAGACATATTTGTCCTCCATTTCTACAGGACTACATTTCCTGATTTGGTAGCTACCACTAGTGATAAGAAACCTGAACCCATTCGCTATAATCAACATTTGGTTAAGTTGGATCCCTGTTTGTTCCCAGTCTTGCTGAAACAGGAAGAGAGATTCACACTTCTCACGTACAATATGGTTTTTATTGCAATGGCTGCCCAGACAGCACAATGCTAATGGGGCAGCTTTTATACAAAATAAATAAATAAATATGAAAAATGAGATTATCACTTCAAAGGATCCACATATTGTTTTTCAATGTAAAACTCATACTACTAATCTCTTAAACATCCTGCACTGGATGCCAGCCCTAGTTAATTGATAGCACCTAGCATTTGTATAGCACTTACATGCATTACCTAGTTATTCGAGAAAAACCCAGTAAGTGAGGACATTGTTACATTTATTTTACACACTGATAGCAATTATTCATTTTCTAGCAAAGGTTCATTAATGTACTGTGTGAAATACTTACATGTGCTACATTTGATGGCCTATTAACCTGCTGAATATCAGCATTATTAGTAATATTTCTTAATGTCCGTACTGCAGGACTCCATGCAGCCATCATTTCAGGACGCCCAGAACTTTGGGGATTCTGCACTGAAGCCATTATGTTACTTCTGATTTCAGAGGACAAAATATTGTCTGTGACAGGTGGCACATTGGCGCACAGGTTTATCAATCCAGAATCCTTGCCTGATGGCAACCTGCGCTTTGCTGCCGCCGTCTGTGGAACTTCAGCAGGTGTCCAGTTCAAGTTTCTTTCGTGCTTTTCAGGAGATGAGTCTGATGAGTCATCAAACATCAGTTCTCCTTTTGTTTTGTCAGCATCAATAGATTTAGGAGAAAAGGCTCGATCACCTGAAGGTGACCCTTCTCGAGAAGATGCTGGACTTGACAACTTTTCATCTGTACTACCTTCATTTTGAGAATCTTGCTCTTCATTTTCTTCCTCTTCCTCCTCTTCTTCCTCCTCATATATAATTAAGCGAGGATGATAGGAAGTCTCATCTTTTTTGGTTTTAGCAGATACAGAATCTAGAACCCAGTCTGGTGTCACAATCTTAATGTTCTCTCGCTTACATGCACATTCGTATTTTTCCTGAGAAGACAAAAAAGTTATATTCCAATTATATCTTTGAAAAAAAATCAAACTAATTTACTAATAGTTATAAATACCCACTATAACTAAACTTGTGTGCATCAGCACAGTACTATATATACCAGAGGCAACTCGTTTAAAAGACAAAGTCGATATTTTGGGCTGTTTTTCTGCTGTTCATCATATGTCAGGTATATAAGATCACCTCCAATTTTTGCTGTGCTATTTCTGATTTCAAGGCTCCTCTTATACACTGGCATATATGGGTATATCTCTCAAGGCTGCGTATACACTGAGAGGCAAAACACATGAGGCTGAGTAGTGCCAAAACAAAGAGCATGGCATCCCAAAACAGAATCCCTAGAGATATTCATGATTTTGTGCAAGAGGTATTCCATTTTCACTAGAGATACTCACAGTTTTCCACTTTCACAGGGACCCTGCAGGTTCAGGCATCTGCTGGGGGGCTTAGAACCTATTCCCCACACATACAGGGGTCCTACTGTATGATGAAAAATTTTCACTTGGTATATAAAATGACCCCCCTGATTTCTGCCTTACTATTTCTGGTTTCGAGGGTAATTTTATATGCAGTAAATTATGTTTCTGGCTTTTAATACACAGGTTACAAATGCTCTAAAAGCATCTTGCCAATTATTTTCAAATTTTCTTTGAAGCAATACTATTGTATATTAGGGCATGTTGTCGTTCTTTCAACTGCTGCTCATTAGTTATAGTTTGTGCAGCACAAGGGATATACAAGAATTTTGTTCCTGCTCACAAGTAATCTGAATATACTCTGTTCACATCCCCAAAATGATCTAGGAATCCAGTTTTCAGGGTTTCCAGAACTTGCTTTCATGTTCACACTTTCAAAAATTTATGCTTGTGCAACTGTCCCCCAAATTCACATTTTAGCCAAGAAGAGGAGTTGTATATTGTTAAAAGTTTTTATGTTTCAATTGGGAAAAATTGTGTTCTTTTAAAAATGCACATTGTTCCAATTAAGAAGAGGCTCATGTTTGGGAACACAAATTCAGAGAACATGGACAAGTTCAAACATTCTAATTTTGCCCATCCCTGTTGTTGTTGTTGTTAGTCGTGAAGTCGTGTCCGACCCATTGCGACCCCATGGACAACACTCCTCCAGGCCTTCCTGTCCTCCACCATCTCCCGGAGTCCACCTAAGCTCACACCAACTGCTTCAGTGACTCCATCCAGCCACCTCATCCTCTGCTGTCCTGTTCTTCTTTTGCCATCTATTGTTCCCAGCATTAGGCTCTTCTCCCGGGAGTCCTTCCTTCTCATTAGGTGGCCAAAGTATTTGAGTTTCACCTTCAGGATCTGGCCTTCTAAAGAGCAGTCAGGGTTGATCTCCTCTAGGACTGACCGGTTTGATCGCCTTGTGGTCCAAGGGACTCGCAGGAGTCTCCTCCAGCACCACAATTCAAAGGCCTCAATCCTTTGGCGCTCAGCCTTCCTTATGGTCCAGCTTTCACAGTCATACATTGCAACTGGGAAAACCATAGCCTTGACTATACGCACTTTTGTTGGCAGGGTGATGTCTCTGCTTTTTAGTATGCTGTCTAGGGCTAAAAATAAATAAATTCTTAGTTAGCAGGAAGCTACCAAAAATGGTAGGTGCTAACACCAAGTGACCAGACAGCCCTGAGGAAGCATTAACTACCACAGAAGCTCTAATATCAGAAGAGCTGAAAAAACATCTTGGCATCTCAGTCCAGCAGGTACAAACTGGAGACTTAAGTGGGAAGAATTAACAAAGGTTCATGCAATACAACCAAAAATTCCAATAAAGTCAAAACTGTAACTGCACGACTCAGCTTGTGTCCTTTGCTGACTTATGTGAGAGTTGTAAATTTTATTCTTAATTTTATCATCAAAGGTATTTAGTGCAAGCCTGACTACTCCACTATTCATCCCTAACCTCAGCTCATTTTTGAAGTTATATAATAGCAGTGTACAAAAAAGATTTTTCCGAGATTCTGGTTAGCTTTTCTCAACTGTGAAAATGATTTATTTCTTTGTTAATTAAAGTCTTACCCCTTTTGGTTCAGGCACAATCAAATGAGTGCATTTTTTATTGAGGCTCAGCCGGCATTCCCCACCATAAAAAGTAATCAATGCCCACAGCATACTCCGGTCTTCAGAGGAAACCTATCAAAGAAAGTAAAATTTTTACTACCAGATACTAGGTGGAACTGCAATTTCTCACATACTTAGCAATCTGACTGAACATCTTACCTGAGATAGACAAGCAGCAACTCCAAAAAATAACTGACAGGATTCTGGAGAGAAACCATTTACTCTGACAAAATTATGTCAAGGAGATAATAAATTGTAAAATGTCTTAAGAGAAACAATTGATGGCAGTGTCCCCACCTCCCTGCAAAAACAAAAAAACTTTAGAAACGTAAGCCTAATTTAGTGAGATTTCCAAATCTTCTGAAAGCAAAGACTATTCTATTAAGTCAAATAAGTCTATAAGGCTTGACTGCCATATAGTCTGTTGCTTTTTTTGCGTAGGAGACCAGACATTTTCATTTCTAACTTCCTAATTACCATGGTCACACTATTCCAACCTATCCCACTAAATTTTATACTCAGGCTTCTATATAAAATAATCAAACACCTCTGTCAGAGGCAGATAGAGAGGCTGTATTCAATCATACTAGGTGAAAAACAGATGACAGGAGTGGGTCTCTAGAATCTGGAAATGAAGGCAGGGGGACTCCTGAAATTCATAACAAAATCAGTTTTAGAAATTCTTTGGGTTTCCTGCAATGCTTGGTTTTATCTAAGTTCTCTACTGAATCAACCTTAGATCTTTGACAAGAAGTTAAGCTAGTTATGAAAACTGTTTGTTAACCATAATTAGAATTCTAAGAATTTCACACATCTGCTATTATGAGCAGCGGGTTCAACAAAGCTAATATTAGGAACACTAAAGGCAGTTTTGTAAAGCTAACAAGAAGAATTATGGGAAAGATAGCTGGAGAAGTATTAGAATCATGACATAATAAAAGTTTTGAAATATGGACACATACATGTAAAGAAAAATTATGTGTGGCAGGAAAGACTGATGGATGAGATTCAAGATGAGTACACAGTACATCAAGAAGGCAGGAGAGACAAAATAGCAAAGAACAAATCATTGTTTCAACAGAGGGGGAAAACAGATTACACAGAAAATTGTATCACATATTATTTACCTCACTGATTTACCTGGAATGTTATTGTACTTTCCACATCAAAAATACCCCAAAAATATCTGACTGGTGAGAAACAGAGCAAATATTTTTGTTGAACATATACACCCATATTGAATATAATCAGACAGAAAGAACAATATTGGAGCACTTATGGCAGGGTCCCCATCCTTTTTCCCTGTTAGGGAATTTGAGGAACTGCACTTGACACCAGCACCCAAAGGCACCCATGAAGGAAGGATGTGGCTAGTTAGATAATACTTGACATGGCATCTGGCTAGTCAAAAGTAAGCTAAAGAGGAAAACAAATAGTAAGACAATGGGAGGAAAAGAGAAAACAGGCAAGGCTAGAGGTGAGAAACGGAAAGAAAGAAGATCAACATTTTCTAAAGTTTTTATTTAAGAAAAAAATGGGAAGGGTGCATGGAACAGAGAGGTTGTGGAGGTGAAGGTGCCTACTAGCACCAGTAGTGCAGGTGCCTGCTAGTACTGTGGCACCTGTGAGTGTCACACTGCTAACCCCTGGCTTGGAAAAAAGTGAACAGAAAAACAGTTTGTACATAAGAAGGAAAGAAATATAAATGCACTTAAACGAACACACATAACAGAAGAAATGCAACAATCTGCTTTCCCTCAAATATTTCAAAGACTAGCACAAATAGAAAAAATGAGTAATTCATCAGGGAGAAGGAATTCCCTTTAGTTCATTTTCTGAAACCAACATGCAGATTATGGTAAAAGTCTCAAAAAAGTGTGGTACAATTAACATTTTAACTGAAAAGGATACGGCAGAAGAGCTCCACATCGAACTGACCAAGTCACCCAAGAAGGCTAAAAAGAAGTTCAAAAATGCATCTTGTGAATGACTATGACCAGATGAACACCATGTCTTAACAAAGCTTGGTTCTATTTACTGGATACAAACCACACTTAAGTAAACTATTTGGCATCATCAGAGAAGGCTGTGTTATATCAAGCTGGTCCACTGAACCAATTTGCTCAATATTGTCTATACTGGTTCACTCTATCTCCCCAAGGTTTCAGGAAAACTTTTGCAGCACTATCTGGAGATGCCAGGGACTGAAGCACAGACTTTCTGCATCAAAACACAACACCTACCAAGGCCCTTCTCTTCATTTTAGGGTTCCAAATGAGAAACATGTACACATTCCTGACAAGGTGTTTACTTTCTTATATATCTGTGGAACCACAAATGCAAATGATTTCTCTATCCTCCCTTTTCAACCAGATGACTGGTGCCATCAATCCACACAACTTCCATTTCTGCAGAGGAAGGACTTGAATCCTAGCACTCTCTTCCTACTCATCAGTGTACTCATAGTACAAAGGGTCTCTGCACAAAGGCTGCAGGAAATGGACAGAGTGCACATTCCCACCGACCCACCTTTTTTATTTTTTTGCTCACAAGGGATAATACTAAACTTGGATGATCCTGAAAACTCTGCTCTTAAATTAACCTTTCAACAGTGAAAAAATAAGCAATCACAAGTGTCAGTACCTACTTTTACTACTGGAAGATCAAAGACTTCACGAGATTCACTGACTTCTGGATTGTCTCCATCTTCTGAAATGATGTGCGACGCCAGAGCATTATAAGAAACTTCCTTTGCCTTCCCATCTTTCAAAAACTGAATAACCTAAATGACAAAAGCAAACTTTCATTCATTTCGATTCCAGAAAAATGCTTATGTCAATCCACCATTGAGGCCAAACTATTTTGTTCGTACTAAAACCAGCTTTCCCCACACAGGGGTGACCTAAAACAGACTGGTGGCTGATGCTTCAAAGCATGGCAGCGGACATCCAATATTAGAGATGAGATACTAACCTTGGTTGATTCTCTACCTCATGCTGCTTTGCTATGGCAACACAGGAGACACACACAAGTCAACTGCCAAATGAAGCATATTTGGTGGGAACATGAGAGACTGCCTTTGTGGTGGCCACTCCATGGCTCTGGAATCGCTTGAGGAGGCTGGGTTGCACCCTCGCTGTTGTCCTTCCAACAGGCAAGGGTGGGTTTATACAGGCTGGTCTTTGGCGTATTTGCTGCTGAAGGTGGTATTAAATGTTTGGGTGATGTTTATTTTTTTCATGTGGGTTTCTAATTGTGTTTGTGTTATTTTTCAAGTAAGATTTTGTTTTTAACGTGTGCTTGTTAGCACCACTTTGTGGCAGAACAGTGAGATATACATTTGATTAATAAATAAGTAAAATGCAAGATGGCAACACTATTTCACACTTATCAGTGATGTGGGTTTTTCTAGCAAAACTTTAATTGAATTTTCTTTATGCAAATTAGACTACTCTGAATAGACTCATCTGCACTAGAACATTTTCTGACACCCCTGCGGGTGATTTAAATGTAGCATGTTTATTTAGTGAACCACAAAGATAAAAAGGTACTCTGTGTTAATTTTTGTCCTACCCTACCAGAAATATTTGACCTGAAATTAAATTAAAACACAGGAAAAATTAAAGCACATTTAATGAGGATTAAATGCTATATTTTATTGGAATACTTTTATTCTTGTTAAGACAATAGTATATTTAAACATTACTAAGGATGTATGTAAGAAAACAAATACATTGAAAACTGTTGAAGCACTAATTCAACCTTGTTCAGCCTGGTGTCTTCCAGATGGACTATATTACAGCTTCAGCATCCCAGGCTAGTCATGCTGATTTTAGCAATCCAAACAGTTTTGCATGACATGCTACCAACATTTCATCTATTTAAGAGTTCTTCTCCTGAGGTTGTTGCACCTCATTCCATTTCACTACCTCTGCTAATTAGTTCTACTTCACATGCGTTTCAGTGACATATATGTGTCCCCTCACATACCTGGTAGGCATAATCACCTGAAGAACATGAATTACAACTTTGAAACTGCCAGGTTTGCCCTTCATTGTTCAATGTTATTCATAATGGATGTATGAAATGGAAAATTTTTAACAGAAAAAAATCTGCCTTTCATCACTACTTTTCATTCCCTATTGAAGAGCATGTATACTGTTTAAGGGTACTTGAATTCTAAATTTATTCAATTATTTTACGAAGACACTCTATGTGTTTTGGCCAGTTACCAACACAAGTTTTGATAACATCCAGTTTGGATTATTGTAATGTGAAGAATGTTTAGGAAACTCAGTTGGAGCAGAATACTGCTAAGCCAGAAGCCTGCCATTTGGAGCATATTGTGTCAGTCCTTAGTGTTTTTGAGCCCAATTCAAAATGTGGGTTGTTGCCTTCAAAGCAGTAGAGGCTCGTCTCCAAGGCAGCTAAAGCACCACCAAGTCATCTGCAAAAGCTCTGCCTCCAGCTGGAGGTCAGCGTACAGGACAGGGCCTTTCTAGCGACTGTGCTGTGGCTCCACAGCAACCCCAAAGGAGGCTCAGCTAGCTCTTCCTGGATCAAATCTTTGGAAGGATTATGAGTAAGAACGGTCCTTCTTAAGTTTTGCCCAATGCTACTTTTATTACGGTATAATGTGTAGCTGCAGCAGGATTATTCATTTTTGTGTTTGCTTGCCAGTTCTACTGTACAGGCATATTGGAGATTTATTTGGAACTAAAAGAAAGCACAGAAATATTACAATAAAAATAAGCAAATGAGTACAGATTGAAACACTGAGAATCCTAAGCGTACGGCATTACTTCTTTGTTCAGTCAGTTACAATTGCACTATAAAGGGACCAAGAATGAATGTTTAGGTAGAAAAATGATGTATAAACACCAGAATTAGTTAAGGGGACAATCCTAGGCATATTTAGACCACACCAAAAAAAGGGGAAGCAATAACTCTCAGTGCTGGACTGAGGCATACTATAAGATACTTTATCTGTAAAAACGTACATCAAATTGCAAATTTGTACATGGAAAGACTCCCAACAACTTATAAGGAAATAATGAATTTCAAAAGTTTGGGAGGTTAAGTTTTTATAATGCAGAAACTGACCTTTCAGATGCAGACAGCTAGAAGACTACCTAGAACAACTTAATTTTATGTGCGTTCGATCTATAGAGAGTCCACTTATATCTCACTTATTAGAGAGCAATTTCTAAAAAACATGTTTTTGTATTAAATGTACACCTCATTTCAGATGGATTTTGAAATTTTATGTTGTGATATACAACTACAATAAAAACTACCAGATAATGAACAGCTTTTACATGTTTTAATAAAAATGATGTCTGGCTGGGAAATGTTGTAGGACTTTTTTTTCTGTTTATACAGACTTAGGAACGCACAATAAACTAAAGTTTATCTTATAATAAACTCTAATTCTCCACAGTTCCTTTGCTTCTGCTTCTTCCTAATTTTAATATGTCTGGATAAATAATTTGATAGCACCTGTATTTGGTACAGTAGGAAGTGTATGCTCATTTTATTTGTATTATTTAAGCTGCCTCTGAGCACTAATATTAGTAGCAGAAAGGCAAAATACATACTTGAAACAAAAAAAATAGAAACTAGGTATTTTAAGCAGGACAGCAGTAGGATCTCTTAAATTGGCTCAGGCTTAACTGATAAGGATATGGCTTGTTATGAGAACAAACTTCAGGTTTGTGCGCTTCCCCTTCTTGTGTACATGAGCATCTGTTTTTCAAGTCAGCTCTGTTATGTCAGAGCTCACGATCCATGGGTTGGTCCAACTGTGGTTACTTACAAAAATCAAGATATCAAACTATAGTTTGAACATGGTTAGCTAATGACAGAGCAAGTCAAAATACCTGAAGTTTGGAAATAATGGTGAGATATGAGTAGTCAGGAAGTCAAAGGTACTGACTTCCCTGTAGGTAGAAAAGGAGAGGGGAACCTAACAATTATGTAAGTCATTCTTATAATAAGAACCCATGGTGTCATTACTTCTGAATCATGTCATTTATAGGACAGACTCAAATTTAGTCAATGCTGCATACCTCTCTAACACCTCTGAATTTTCCCAAGGACAAGCAATTAAAATTGATGCTAATAGTTGACCAATATCCATTATACTTAAGCATCTTTCTTAAGGCAAGATCTATAAAAGAGGCTACATGTGTAGCCATGACAGAACAATGGCTGCATTCAGATGCATGGCCAAAATAGCAGTAACCTATGTGAACAGGGCTGGTTCCCAGCTCTAGATCAACCACAGGTGGTTTGCAAGCATTTGCTTCAATTTTTAGCTGGAGAGTTTGTTATGTGTGAACCAAGACCAACTTTAGAGCATGATTTATGTTCCTGGCTTGTTTGATTATATAACAGTGAAAAATTACCTGCAATACCTAGTTTGGACATAATGTCAAACTGCACTTCACTAAAACCCAGCAGCAGAAGATTCCAAGTACATCATCACCACACAAGAAGAAAAAGTGAGCAAACTCAACCCTGTGTGCCATTACAACTATGGGAATATCTTATTTATTATAGCGATATCCTGACTTTTTTCTCTTTCAAGAAACACAAGGTGGCTTACATAATTCTCTTCCTCCTCTCAATCTTAATCTTACAACAGCAAGAATCTGAGAGATGGGCTGGGCTGAGAATTTGTTACTGGCTCAAAGTCACCCAATGAGCTCCATGGCTCCCAGATCTTCTGAGTCCCAGTTCCACACTCTTAACCTCTATACCAAACTGGTTCTCAGTACTGGTGAGAGAAAACAAAAGTTAAAAACGGACACAGAACATAAGCCTCACTCACAGAAAGAACCTGGAATTTGGTACACCCATAGCACAAGGCATTGTAAAAAAAATGAAATTGAGTATTTTAGGTGTAGTCTTAAAGCACATAATGGAACTTCTCAGAAAATAATCTTTAATGCTGAAAATTGGGATATTAACTCTACCTTATAAAAACCTTGCTTCACAGAGCAAGCAAGTCATATATGTAAAAGTATGGAAAGAAGTAGTCACCTTTCACACACTTTAAAAATCCTCAACCTGCATCTACAAAAAGCTAACAAATCCTTGGATAGAGTGGATAGGGGAAATTTCAGTAGCAATATAAACAAGTATTTCTTGGCATACTTGTTACTTACGTAACATCATCTATATATCTAACACTTTAGAAATGAATGTAAACAGAGTTCCCTACTTTGAGGTGCTCACAAGATACATATTTATTAAAGCCAACTGACAAAGAGGAAAAAAGCGGAGAAAGGCGTTAACAAGTAAAATTACATGTGCTTAGTCTGTTATGGGACTTGCAGGTCATGCTGAAGGCTTCATGGAAAGGCAACTTAAGGAGACAAAAGAGGTGGCATCCCTGATGTATTCTAGGCATTTCCAGGCAGAATCATCTGAAGCAACATGAACTTCCTGATGGCTGAGTCTGAGTGGTGGAGCTGGATAAATGAAGCATGTAAGACCAAAGATAGGTGGTGGAGAAAAGCCAGTGCACGCACTCAAGATAGAGGTAGGACTTGCTCCAGGAAATGGACAAGAATGCCCGTAAGTATTTTCGGAGGGACACACAGGGTCACTGTGAGCAGGGGTGGATGACTTTGGCAGCAGGATGTCAGATAAACAATAAGAAACTAAAGTGAATGACCAAAAAGGATGGCGGGGCAAACAGCACTTCAGAGAACCCAACATCCAGAAGGAGGTCAAGTCAGATGGAGTCTCCGCCACTTTACACGAATCAACACACGCAAGCAAGGTTCCCTCCTGCACCGACCTCCCCAGGCTGTGGGGGTGGCCGGAGGAGCTTGTGTGTCTTAATGCCTCCCTCATTGTGCACTTGCAGACGGGGCGGGAGGGGAAATCACCTGGGGGAAAGCGCCAACTTGAACATGCAGGACTTGTCCTACAGGGAGGAACAGCGAAACTTTCCTTCTACCTGGCGAGCGAGGCTGCAGCCCATGAAACGCTTCCCCACCTGACCGCGCTGCCGGGGGGAAGCCTGGCCCTGGGCCCGACCGCTCACGGAGGCGAAATTCACACACCCCGCGGGGAGGCCCGGCCTGTCAAGCGAGGGAGGAGGGCGAACAGAAAGAGGCCTACTCGCGGTCGGAAGAGAGGGGCAGCGCGAGGGGGGCGTCCCCGCGGCCCCCAGCGGACGGGGAGCAAGCCAGCGCTCTCCCAGCGCCTTCCTCCTCCCCTCCGCCGACCCACCCCGGCCCCAGGCCGTGGCAGGGCCGCCAAGCGCCCGGGAGAGCGCGGGACCGGCACCCGCGCAGGGCGGCGCTATCAGCCGTCGGCGGTCGCCATGGCGCCTTCTCCTTTCCTCTCCCCCCCACCCCGCGGCGGGAGCGCTCCCCCAGATCCCCCTCCCCTCCCCTCCCCTCCCGGCGCGCGCGAGCGCTGTCAGCGCGTGGCCCTGGCCGGGCAGGGCAAGTGGAATTTTCCCCCGCGGAGGGCCGTGGCGGGACCGTCGCGGGAAGCCGCGGCGACGGGCTTGTCCGGCACAAGGTACCTGGGGGTCGAGGTCTCCCACGGCGAAGAACTTGACATCTTTGAACATCTCCTCAGGGACCTTCAGCTCGCCCCCTTCCTGCCGCTGCTGCTGCGGCTCCTCCTCCTCCTTCGCCATGGTCCTGCCCGGCTGGGTGGCTGGAGAGGAGGCACCAGAGCCGCCTCAGCCGCTGCCGGCCTCAGGCGCCCCTCCAAGGCCCGGGGTCTCCCTCGCCCTTCCCCCACCTCCCAGGCAGCCTCCGAACCGCGGGAGCAGGGAGCGCGCGACGGGGCGGACCATTTCTCTCCGGCGGGGTGGCCAAGGGACGTGGAGGAGAAGCGCTCGGCGCTTCCTCCGGCCCTTCGTTGCCTCCTAAGGGGGATCGCCGAGCCTTCGATCAGAAATGATAGGACGGGTGCTGCCGCGAGTACGCTGTCTCCAGCAGTCCACGGCCGAACCCAGAGTGCATTTGAGAGAAGCGCGTCACCCCCTCTCGCGTGGGCACCATGGGCTCGCCCAGATCCCTCCTACTAACAAAACAACCGCGGCGGCCGCGCAAAGGCCCGCCCCGCCCCGCAGCTCTTCCCGCCCTGTGGGCCGCCTCCTGTTCTCCCGCCTTGCCGGAGTCGCCCCACCTCGTAGTTTAGCGCCTCTTACACTGGCAGCTCTTCCCCTGTGGTTAGGAGCGCAATCCTAGGCGTCTTTCTATGGGACGAAAAAGTCCTACAATTCCCAGCATGCTCCACCTCGGAGCATGCTGGGAGTTGTAGGACTTCGTTCCATCGAAAGATGCCTAGGATTGCGCTGCCAGGGGCGTGCTGGGAGTTGTAGGACCTTTCCTCTTGATTAAAGGTGTCTAGAATTCGACCCTTTATTATTATCTCTTTTAAATTTTTAAATTTCATTTAATTTACTACATTTCTGCACCACCCACGAGCCAAATCTCTCCGTGCAGTTGACAGTGATTAGAAACCTTAAAAATTAAGTATTGTGCATAATATGAAAACAGTTTAGCTACATACATAAAAACAGGGCGGACACCCATATGCATAGTCCAAGAATATTGCACGACCTGATTGTGTGCTGGGAGTGGAGGGAGCTTTTCAGCTGGCCCCGAAAAGATAAGATTAGCACCAGGCTGGCCTAGTTAAGGATATCATTCCACAATTGGGGGCTGCCAACTAAGAAGGCCCCCTCTGGTCACACTCCAAGCCTCCCTGAGAGCGGGCAACTGGAAAAGGCTCTTAGATGACAAATGCAACGTATGAGTTAAGCTCATGCCACTAAAGGAGGACATCATCCTGCCCTTTCTTAATTCAGAAACGCCCTTGTGCAACTGCATCTTCTAAATCAAGGTTTTTACTTGCAAAGGTTAACCAATTCACTTGTGGCAACCTTCTATGCCCCAGTTCCTCAGGCACATTTTTTATTTAAAACTAGCTTGTAATATACAGAACTAATTACTCTGCACTCACACTTAACACACAGAGATGATTATGAACTATCTTCCTATGAGATACATAATGAATTTTTAATAACAATGTATGTTCAATTCATACCTTGTGACAATGACTTTAAGGTTCTTTCATTTTTTCCTACTGGATTTAAAATTTAGGGCACACTCCCTAAATTTGCATGTTTAGACAGCAAAAAGTCCTTCCGCTCCCAGTATGCCCCAGGCAGCATGAACATCTTCATCATTGAATTTATATTCCACTTATCCACAAAAAATAAGAAATCATGGCAATATACAAGTTACAATACTATATCATTATACAAAGATCAACCCAATCAACTCATCTCACCAATACTAACATTATTACAAATAGGGAAAAATAACAATTGCAACAAAGTAGCAATTCATATTTATCAGTTATGAGCAACTGATAAATAGGCCAAATACACAAAGGAAATGACTTTAAGTCCTGCCAATCGGAAGCTTGCAATCATCCAGCGCAGGGCAGAAGGAACGTGAGAGTGGTCTCTGCCTCCATGTCTTGGCATCCCACATTTTCCACCAGATACGCTTTTTTGCCTGTCTCGCAGGAATGTCATGGAGAGGGAAGAAAAGAGCTCCAGGGTATTTATTCAAATAATTTCTATGCCACCCAGTTACCAAAGCTATCCAGACAGGAACAACTCTTAATAAACACAATTTAAAATAAAACAATAAACAGTTCATAACTTTACATTGACAATTGAAAACCACATTTTAACAACTAAACAACTGAAACCAGTGCATACTGCTAGGCCTTCTTTTAAAATAAATCCCAATATGAAGAACACGCATATTCTGGCCTCTCTTGGTTCTTCACCTCCCCACCCACTTTTACTCTTGCCCAGAGTTGCTTTCTCCAGCACAGAGGGAGAAAGATCTTATTTTCTGCTCCAAGTTTGGAGCACAACCTCCATCTCTGAATGTAGAGACCAGAACTCCTCAGACACTGTTTAGGGACTGTAGAATTGTTCCATAACCCTTTCCCATGCATTGCAAATGCCACGGTCACAATCTTATTAGCTGCCTTCTGGTAATTCCAAGAGACCCAGACTATAAAAGACTTCTGTGCCCAGACTGACAATGGTCTAATAACCTCACTCTGTAGGGAAACCTGGATCTGAAACTTGAGCAAAAGTTCCTGCACAGAATCTTGCTAAACTTCTGGGACTCTTTGCAGGAAGAAGAAAATATAATCCTAATAAAAACCAGCCTGTTTGTAATAGTATTACATCTTAAGTTTTCAAGGCATAGAAAGATTAAAGAACAACAATACAGTCATAACCACCCCTAGTCCCTGTCTGAAGGCTTGCTGTCTAATAAAAACATACATAAAGGGTAGAGAAAAAGAAAATAAGCACTTCTCCATATGTTACGAAATACAGATTTTATTTTAAGATGGCCATTTCTGATAAAGGCTCTGGGTGGACAATAATGAATTTCCTCTCCACCTTGGGTATTATTATGACAGCTGCCTGTGTTCCAGCTGCATTAAACTGGTGTTGAACCTCTAATGGTGCAGACAGGGCTTCAGGTTTCTCAGGACTCCAGGGAGGAGAAATAACTGCATTTGCTTTAAAATCTGGAGCCCTTCACTGGCTGCCCCTGCCTTCAGAGCTGAGGTGGATGCCATGTTTAGAGGATAACATTCCCAGAAATATTGACATCTTCTGGATGCCATGCTAAAACAAATTTATTATTCTGCACATTTAATTATTTTTTTTCTTTTTCTATTTTTTAAGTCACTGGTATTTTGAGCCAAATATTGGCTTATAAAAATGTATTTTTATTGTTAACCTGCATTTTATTGTTAGGTCTATGTTGCAAACTGCCTTGGGGTTGATGATAAAGCAGGTATGTTGGAAATAAGAAACAGAGTGTGTTTAGCCAATGGGGATGCATGGTAAGTTGCAGCTGCAAGAAGGGAAGAAGGAAGTTATGCTGGTATCTTCCAGCCAACCCACATATACAGGCATGAGCACGCACACCTGTGTTCTCACATTTGTACAGCTGCACCACACTAATATCTCTCCGTGGAAAGGTGCTGCACTTCATACTTAAACAGGCACAATTGGTGCGTCTTCCATCCACATAGCTATAAGCACATCTGCTTACACATGGTTGGTGAGGGAACGGGGGCAGAGGAAGCACCCCTTTACTAACTGCCCAGACAGCCTCGGCTACTGGGCTGTTAAAAATGAAATAATAAATAAATAAAGCCTCCCTTTGTCCTCCCCACCAACCAAAATTATACGCGCGCGCATGCACACACACACACACACACACACACACACACACACACACACACAGGCTTTTACGATGAATGAACTCAGGTGGACAGTAACTGCTATTCACCAAGCACTGAATAGAATTAAAGAAGGTAGATGTGATGGAGCAGTCCAGGTTCACACAGCCATCCTCCCAGGAAAGGAGAGTGTTGCATTAGGTGTTAGGTTTATGGCCAGTTCAAAGGCTGAAGCCAGAGGCACAGTTAGGAGGCACCGGGATGGTGATGTAACTGGAAACTTTAATTAGTGCTAGGAAGTTCAGTCTGGCAGAGCGATGCATTTTAGGCAGAGCGTGACTGGCTCTTTACTACCATCTTTTATGGAGGGCTTGTTACTGCTTGTAAACAGGTAATAGAATGGCCAGTAAGGATGACAACTTTGCATGGAAAAGCAAGGCAGACAATACAATTGTGCGAAGAAACCATTTACAGAACACATGGCTTCCTCAGCTAGATGTGAAGGCATTTGTTTCAGGAAGTTTCTGGTCAAATCATAGAAGGTTGGCACCTGCAGTATTTTTTCTCTCTTGTCTTTTCTGTTTTCACTTTGGCTGAGTTGCAGAATAGCAGCAGCACTACCTGTGCAGATCAAGGTGATTTTCAGAGCAATTATAAATGTACAAGAAAGAACAATATTGCAGAGAGTGACCCTTATCCAGAGAAGTGGGGGAGCAGCTGCAGACTCTGTCAGCGCTGACGGGATTGCCTAGGTTACGAGTCTGTGCCGCGAAATCCACAGGGCTGCTGAATGTTCAGTACCAGGATGTTAGACAAGCTTTTCTATCCATCCGTAAAGGAGCAACAGATTTCACACATAGATTGGCTTGACCACAGTCTCTCTGTCCTCCTCAGTGGATTTTCCTTCCCTCGCTTGGAACTCCTTCAGCAATCCATTTCCCTATCCACCTCTCTAGAAAAGTCAGGCCTTCACATTCAAGAGCTTTCAACTGAAACCTGGGAGCTTTAGATTTGATTCATGATGTTATGGCCTGATGCGTTTTTATGCAAACATTGATTAAGCAAAAAGAAAGAAGCTTTTTCATTACCTTTCACAAGGGTGGATAAAAGACAGATAATTTCTCAAGAATAGAGCACAACATTAAGGAACTTTCTGCTTTTAAATCAGTTTTAATTATATTTTTAAAAATATTTAAAAAGGGGGAAAAAGAAAGCTTGCCATCCAAATGCTAATGACCAGGAAACCTCCCAAACTTATTATTAATTTATTTATTTTCTACAGCACTCATTAGTCCAAGTGGCTCTCTGAGCAGTTTACAAAGTCATAACAGACAATATATACAATAAAAACATTAGATTGAACATAGAAATATATCAATAAAATAGCTGCCATAAAAAGGCAAAAAAAAGAAAAAGAACCCACAAGATTGTTTAAAATTAAACAATTTAGTTTAATCCCGAGGTATAGTAGTAACGGAATGTAATTATATATGGAATATAAAATATACGAACTAGATAAAAGTCCCTTAAAATAATTTTAACTATTAAAATACTGGGTGTATAAAGAGTCTGGTGCCAAAAAGAATGGAGAGAAGGTGCCAGATGAATCTCTATGGGGTGCTGATTCCAGAGTTGGTGTGCCACCACCAAAAAGGCCCTTCCCCTTGTTGTTGTCGTCATTAGTCACGAAGTCGGGTCCGACCCA